ATCTTAGGTATTTTCTATGAGTTTTTTTAATAGGCACTAGATAGTAAGCATTTTTTAAATCTATAGTAGCCATGAAAGCATTAGGTGTGATTAGATGAGCAACGGTTCTGTAATCTTCAATTTTAAAGTGAGATGTTTGTACAAAGTGATTGAATCTTCTTAGATTTATGATTAATCTGTAGGAGCCATCTGACTTAGGGAAAAATGTTAGAGAGAAATTGATTTTCCCTTGGGATTACAGGACAAATAGTTCCATCTTTGATGGACTCCAGAATTAAGCTACTAATAGTTTTATATTCTTTTTTAGAACGCTTTGGATCTGATGATGCAACTGTTTGTCTTGGTGAGGCATGTAAAGGTATACTAAGACCCTTAATATATGAAAGAATTTTTTGGTTAAAGGAAAGATGTCTCCATCTTTTTACGAAGTACTTCAACCTTCCACAAGGTTTACTGACCTCTAAGATTGAAGTCGACTTCTCTTGTCGCTCTGTCGGTCCTGCCTTCCGGGTCGATGTCGACGAGACTTGTTGTACTGGTAACTCCTTTGGTGACTGGTAGGAACATGAAGTTTGTGTCCACTCTGTTGGGTTCGCCTCCTTGACAGAGATGGACGTTTGAAGTTTCCCTGATTTGGTTGGCGGTAATTCTTTTTATGAACCTTCAGTTGTTCAGTAGACTTTTCAAGTTCTTTTGCTGTTTTCAATGTAGAGTCTAAATTGCTTTTTGGGAGTGTCTTTCAATGTTTCTTTGAAATCCTTATTCCAATTCAAACAGATTATTTTTCTTAGTGAGACAGTTTCATTGTGGTGAACATCACATAATAACCGCCCTATGTCATTGAGAGACTCTATATATTCCCTATTTGCCCCTCCCTCTTTTTTTAGCATCTCAGTAATCAAAAGAGAAATGACTGAAGTGGCTGCTCCAACTTGTTGTTGAATACGTTCATCCCGACGGACAGCATTTACTGGTGAAGCTCTCTTGACTTCTGATTTATTAAGGGGGGTTGAAGTTCTTGACAATTTTCTGGGGGGAGGTATTTTTTGATCAGAGTCTCTTTCGTCTCTGCTGATAATCCAGTTGTAAGGATCTTTGACCAGCAAGCAGCCAATTCCGGTTGGATTGCAGCAGAAAATATTTTTTCCGAATCTCCCTCAGCTGTGAAAATGGACATAATGGTATTTGACGGGTGTGTTGGAACCTCTCCAGTTTGTTCAGGCAGTATGGCTGCTGAAAAAATAAATAACATGTGATTGAGGAATAGGTGCCACTCTAGACAGTAGTTATAATCCAAGCCCCGAAAAAAAAGGCAAAAAATACATACAGCCACACGACTGATAAGGTGACTACCACACTAGGTAGACAAAACAGCAAGACAGGTTCTTCTGTCACTCTAGACAGATGGTTAGATTGTATGTACCACTACCACTCTAGGTAGGTTACTAGTATGTCAGACTCGGTCTTATCACTCTAGACAATGTTCTCTCACACTAATGAATTGCCACTCTAGGCAAGTGTGTGTACCGTCTATGGTAAAAAATGTAATCATCAGCAAAAAATCAAAATTACAATACTCACTGTGGTTATTGTCCTTATCTTCGGATGCAGTGATGTGATCATGACCAGAATTACCACTGTGGTAACTTGAAGAATTCGTAGTATAACCGTCACTGTGCGTGTGAGACGAATCCGATGAGTAAGAGGGTGATCCGGTACGGCGTCGTTTCCGAAGGTTTTCCAGTTTACTCAAGCGATGTTCAATCTTCCTCAAAACAACACGATCGCGTGAGTGGCTACGGCTTCTATGCCTCTTTGGCATTTTTGCACATAAACAAAATATTTCCTAGAAAAAACGCGCGGAGCGATGTGATCGTACGGCACAAAATAGTAGACTGAGAATTCCGGCGATGAGTACCAGCGACGGAGATGCGAGGAGCCCAGGGAGGGGTTTGTTTACTTTAAATAGTGTGGTCGTTCGGGGCGAAATCAAGGATACTACACATCTTTATTTACGAGACGAGGCCTTCATATAATTTTAGTTATTGCCCTTTCATTTACCAGTGTTAAGCATAACAAAATGCCTCGAGTTCGAAGTCGTCCAAATTATCACCATGTTAGCGACTTTGACAGTGGTAAAATTATTGCCTATCGAGATGTTGGTTTGTCTTATCGCGAAACTGGCCGCCGTGTTAATTGTACTACAATGATGGTAAAGCGTGTGTGTTGTGTGTGGATACAAGAAGGTAAAGGAACACGAAGAAGGCCAACTGGTACACCGAGGCATACCACAGACCGTCAAGATAGGAGCTACAGACAACTAGCCCTACGAGATCGTTTTGCTACTGTGTGTCAGATCGCTGACCAATGGTTTGGAGAAGAAGGTAGGCCGTACACCCTATCGCCACATTCGAGCCTTTGGACTTTTTCCATACTTGATTACGTGCTTCCTATGACTACGGACCACTGTCGTCAACGTTTGAACTAGAGCAGAGAACGGCAACATTGGGAGTCAGAATGGCATAATGTCATCTTCAGGACCGAATCGCTACGCTGTCTAGGTACGCACGATGGTCGTAGAAGGGTAAGACGCCGCCGTGGAGAACGGCGTGATATTGGATTTGCTGTTCAGAGGCATGTACACAGGACTGTTTGGAATAATGGTTTGGGGGGCTATTGCCTATGGTAGCCGATCACCCCTTCTCTTTGTTCAAGGCAATATGACTGCTGTGCGTTATATTGATGATGTCCTACAAACCACTTTACTGCCGTATCTAGAGGGCTGTCCACTCCTCACGTCCTTTTTCCGCAACACAACGCACGTCCCCATATTGCTCGTCGTATTACGAACGAAGCAGGCGTTAATGTTTTGCCGTGGCCACCCCGTTCACCGGATTTAAATCCCATCGAACATGTGTGGGATATGACGGGGAGGAGACTATCCTCTTTGCACCATCCGCCACAGACTCTGCCATAGCTAATCTACGAAGTTCGAGTTGCATGGAATGCCTAGACGTATACAGGAGTGAATTTAGCTGTGGGGTCGCCCAAGACATTAATTTTTTTTCTTATTGCCAATAAAATTTCGTGAGAATGTTGTTTCATTCTTGATATAAGACTACCTCAGTGCAAAAAAATTAAGTTGAAGAAATGATTTTTTCTGAGTGTAACACTTCTAATGTCACCACTCAGTATATTAAATAACAGATTTGCATTGTTGATTAAACGTTGGGACATTAATTCACAAAACTCCAACTTTCTATCAAAATCGTCTTCGTGAAGCTCATGGACAAGTTTTATCTTTTACGGGTGAAGCACTACTTTCAGCAACTATTACCACCCTGAGGTACCTCTTTATAGCAAATTAATTTTTACTTTAACTTTAATGTGCGTGTCATCTGTAAGTTGTTTTTTTAATGCTCGGAAACTTGTTTTTAAAGTAAAGTCTTCTAGAATATTATAAGTTCAAATAGCTTCACAACAATTGAAGATGATATATATTTTGTTGAACAAAAATTACCAAAATCTTCATGGATAATCTAAAAATTGAAAAAGCGGGGGTTTCCAGTAAAAAATCCAAAATGTAACGCAATATCTTATTTTTGGATCACCCTGAATTGTACAGCAGTAGATGAAAAGACGTCCCCCTAAACGTTTCTGAGAGCGTTTGTTCCAAAATATACCAGGAGAGTCACAAATGGGGGTGTGACGTTTTCATTGGGACACCCTGAATGTTAGAAAGAGATACGTAGGAGCCGAGGTTGGCCCGTGAAGATCACCTCATTGACTAGCAACAGTGACGCAGAATGTCGTGCAATCTGTCGCGTTGCCAATATGTTACACCAGTTTCTTGAATTAAGATGCACACATTGAAAAATGCGTTAGTTTCTTCTCCACACCCAAATAATGGTTTTAGGCGTACACATTTTTGAATTGTGAGTTGTGTTGAATCTGTTTAGAATTTTAATTCGAAATGAAAGGTCAGGATTGCCACAAATTCTGCAACATTGCATCATTGATTCGCTTGACAACATTGCATCTCGTACATTCCAAGGCAAGGTTTCCACCCCCATATATCCGTGTACGGGTGTAGCCTGAGGAAACGAAGATGGAGAGGAACAAAACAATACACGAAGTCACCAACAAGGGCCAAACTACACTTGTAGTATAATGGCCAAAAGACATCAAGTTTTCAAGATGACATCTAACCACAACCACGAGGCCAGTTCTAACCACTTGCTGTGCTACTTCAAGCTCAAAGGATCTACAAAAAAAGAGTGTGTGGGAAAAAGATATATAACAAAGAGAAACAATGGGCAAAAAGAAAGGGAAGTGGATTCGAGCAGAAAGTAGAATAGGTAACCTGAGCAATATGTATTTCTGCTTGTTGGCTTCATCAGGCCCAAAATGAATGCAACTACAAAAGTAGTCTCACATCCCCATACATCCAGATACGGGTGTAACCTGAGGAAACGAAGATGGAGAAGAGAAAAACAACACATGAAGTCATCAACAAGAGCCAACTTACACTTTTGTAGTATAATGGCCAGAAGACCGAGTTTTTAAGGTGACATCTAACCACAACTGCCAGTTATAGCCACTTGTAGTGGTACTTCAAGCCCAAAGGATCTACACAAAGGAAGGGACCATGCAGAGATAGGTATATAACAACTTTGTGTGTTGTTTTGTTCCTCTCCATCTTCGTTTTCCTCAGGTTACACCCATATCTGGATGTTTGTCTATTATTGTAGTTGTATAATATGCATTCATTTTGGGCCTGATGAAGCCAACAGGCAGAAATACGTATTGCTATATATTTTCTATACCTTTTCTCCTCACGAGCCTTTTATCTTTGCAGATCCGGATTTTGAAACAGAGCTAATTACCATCTAGTAACCTTCTGGCAGTGTAACATGTAAATTAAGTCATGCATAAGAATCCACAAAAAATGATATTCATCATTGTTTTCACGGTATAGAAGGTGAAGAATATGAACTTACGTTGCGCCCACAGTTTTTAATTTCAAGAACTGTGGAGTAAATTGGTATCTAACAAATCTGCCAGAATTATGATCGACTATCTCATCATTGTCAGTTTTATCTCCACCGTCCTTTAAATTGTCATGAACTGGTTTTGCTATCTCAAAAAGCACTGCACCACTTTCTAAATCTCGTATTTTGAATCTAGTGAAATCAATCTCATAAATATTCGCATCAGGTTCGCATAAATATGCATCTGAAATTTTTGTAAGCTTCAAGACGTCTTCCGGCCGTATCACTTTTGAATCACCCTTTATTAATCCTTTATTGGGGATTGTTTCTCTCAATTCTCGTACAACACTCATTGTAGAGTTTTTCACACAAGTTTTTCAAAAACTGTACATCATAAAATATATACACTGCATTCCGTGTGATTCAAGGGTAACACGGCTGACTTATGTCATTGTCAACGGCCAGTTTTGAAGGTGCTCCATGGTTGCATGTGCATTAACGCAACGTTGCCAGCTCTACATACGAGATTCACGTTTTTATGTACAGGGTGTTTCAAATCGACCCCTCACCAAGTGACGAAACATCATATTCGAGTTATGCCATCTTGTAGAGAAGAAAAAGTGGCAATATTAATGTGCAATTTATTTTGAAATCCCACTACAAATAAAGTAAGGAACAAATCAGTACTATTTTGGGAGAATTAGGTTTGTTCCCTATCTCTACGAGAGTATTTTGAATTTCGAAACTTTCTAAGCGGCATTTTGTTGATTAGCTAAATACGCAACTTTGCCCCTGCGTAAGCGACTTCTTAACTCTTAGTGTTTCCGAGATCCCAATGGTGAGGGTCCAATTTGTGAAACCCGCTGTACAAAAATTTGTTGGGATATATGGGAGATGCTATACAGGGGACGAAAGGTTAATGTCACAAAAAGAAAGTATTGAGAAAAGTGAATTTAAAAGTTTCAAGACTCCTAACTCGTTGTATAGGGTAGGTCAAAGATCTGACGGAGTACCATAGATTCCTTATTATAAGGAATTGATAAAAGTGATTATATATATAATTATAAATATGTTAGATTCCTTTAGGGTAAGGAAAGTGTTAGCAACGTAACAGATACAATTTTTTTGATATACAGGGTAGCCCAAAACTGAAAGCAGACCAAACATTTTTTTAATGGAAAATCTTTTGTGTTTTGAGGTTCTCCTCATGGTTTTAAACATTTTTTATGTGCTAGCGTCCATGACTGAATACAACGTTTTTTGAGATATTAGGGATAGAAATGAACCTTTCGTCATATGCAACAACACCCTGTAAAATTTAAGTGTTGATTACCCGGCAGAATTCCTATCTCAGGTTTTACGATCTGTTCTAATATGAGTACAATCTTGACAGGAAATTTATTACACAGGTCCTAGAACATGAGAAAAAGGTGACTTTCTAACCTCAATAGCTCAAAGACAGAATTACTACTAAGTATTTTTCTAATGGGGACAAGAAAAAACAATGAACCAAAGAATATAGAATAAGCAAAACAAAATTAATGGTAACTGCTGAAAAATGATTGCTTAACGTTTATTTCTGTCGTCGCAGGTTCGTGTATAGTAGTGTGTCTATGGGGATTGAATCTCACTGTTTCTAAAATCCGCCACTAGAGGCGCTGGCGTCGTGCGCCATTGATGAGTTGGACGGAATCTGTATGTGAAATTGATGAGTTGGGGATTCCGCCGCTAGATGGCGCTGTACAAACCAAACGGAATCTATGTGTCATTGGACACCTGTCATGCGTCATTGGGCATCTCGCGCATAGATGGCGCTACACACGTCATCTGCCATACGTCATTGGACACCTGTGATTGATGGGTTGGGCATCTCGCGCATAGATGGCGCCGATTTGTTGTCTGGCGCTGTACAAACCAAACGGAATCTGTATGTGTCATTGGACACCTGTCATTGATGGGTTGGGCATCTCGCGCATAGATGGCGCCGATGTCGCACCTGGATGGTGTTGGCGTGGATATACGGGGGGCAGAAATTTAGAACCTGTATACAGGGGTGAATCGAAAAATAGCGGATCGATGGAGCGACGGTATATCGTTAAATCGTATATAGCAAGGCGTGACCTAAATAGCGTGGTGGGCGCCTCTCGTCGGTCGGTCAGAATGTCTTATAACCTGTATACGATGTACTGTTATTATACAGGATGATACCGTTCAAAATGAAAATAGTACATGTATAATGGATATTTTATTGAAACATATAGTATATATAACAATAAGGTTGATTGGTGTGTGTGTGTGCCATGTTTTGAATACCCGCTTGAACAACTTGAAACAAGAAATTCCGACAATTATTTCGCAAACCAGAGGTATTTTCAATAAAACTACAATAATACGTTTAATATTTTATTGAAAATAGAAAAAAACTACATAGGTAATATGATATTTGAAAACCAGTGGCGTAGACGTTCAACATTTCTCTGGGTACAGGAAAATTATCCGTTGGTGTGACATGGATTGGAATCAGCAACAAAGTTTCCAGTAGCACACGGTGTACCATCATACTTGCAAACATCAATAATGATGGGAAAAACACCAAAAATGTGATCAGATCCCATTTTCTAAATGGTATAAGTATCGGCTTATCAGTTTCAATAGCTTTCAAAAGTTGTTCTTTCACATCATCACTCGGGTAAATATGTTTGATTTTCAGTTCCATGCTTTCAATAATTATTTTCGCTGTCGTCCTAGTCGTCGTCGTCGTCGTTCCAGTTTTTTCCTTGATAATGATACAATCGTTATCGTTTCTAGCTCTCACAAATCTGAGAGTTTGTCTGCCACACGTAATCATAGGATAATCATTGAAAATGTTGAAAATATGTTTAAGCGGCATTAGCAAGCTAAAAGACTTGTTATGTGTTGACGCCATTATAGGTGTTGAAGGATAGTTCCATCCAGCTATAGCCATATGATTTGAGTCTTCCTCACTGTAACATACGTAAGCTCGGACAGTACTTACAATACCAGGATCACGTACTGTTTCAACTTCTCTAGCGGATTCACTGTAAGTGCAAGAGTCAAATAGGAAGGCACCAAAGTTTGGAGCTAAAGATACATCTCCTGCTGCTGCTCCAGTTATTTCAAATTTCCCTTTGATAGACAGAAGGGAAGCGTTCATTGCAAAGAACGAATCTACTTGATTGATGCTAAATTCCACAACATCATTACAATTAAATGACTTGATGAACGGCGTATAAGATCTATACTCAGCCTTGCGAATAGATTCATCGAATGCTGGAGATCGATATAGATCAAACATCGGAGAAGTATGTGATGCTGCCTCCTCAGTTTTTCTCTTTTTGTACATGATTCTTGTTGTTGTTGACATGATATCCAAGTGAGCGGAGAAACAGGATATTTGATGTAGTTAGTAGTAGATGTCGTCGCTTAGGTGCTTGGGTTAATACTGAAGTTGCCTTGGAAGCACCACTATGTCTTATAATCACTAATCCCATCTGCTCTTCGCTCTCAACTCCAACACAAGAGTACTAGTTTCACCTTGAAAATTTACAGGACGACCGTCTTGATCTAAAGCCAACACTGTGATGTTGGTTATTTCTTGTTTCGGTATAACAGGTAGATATAGTAAATTTACAGGTGTTTCGACTATAGCGTATCCAGGATCGGCTGTCACAGCAAATTCGTAGATCGTGTGTGCAGGCGTGTCTCCGTCAAAGGCTCCCGACGTAATGTTAGCATCAAAGTGTATGGTTGATACTTTTATTATGTTTACAGGTAAATCAGAAGAATGCTTTTGACCAGGATTAAGAACTTTTTTCGAGAATCCCAATAGATGTCCAAGATTATTCGGTTCTGTAAACACTATTTTATAATACTTGCTAAAGATTTCACGTTGCAGTGTATTATTGTTAGGTTTTAGAGAAAAATAATCATCCGGAGGAGCAACTTCATTTTCAAGATTCATTTGCGTTCGTATAAATGTTTCTATGTCGGTAATTTCATAACAGCCTGTCGGAAACTCGATGACTTTTAATTAACCACCTATCCTGTCGATATAATAAAATTTATCTCCTTTTTCAATATTCGGTATGGAATTGTATGAAGTAAAAGACCTAAGCGCCAATTTTTTTCGGATCCAACACTATCGGTGTTGAAGGACGAAATGAAAATATATGAGTAGTGCTATTGACTCTCAACAACTGCGACATGATGAATGAAAAAATATAGCTGTGTACTAAACATTTATTCAAGTTTTTTTTTTGTTTATTTTCGAATGGATAATTTACAGAAATAACAATTTGCTTGAGCAGTAGCCGGTCCATCCCAATGTGTTGCCCAATCAGGTCTGTTGTAGTGAACATAGCATGGAAGTCGTATTTGAAGATCAAAATTGGATGTGTACTCTGCAGGCAGTTTGTGCCATATACTCAACAGTTCTGCAGGTCTCACATTGCTTATTAAATATTCCAGCGGCGGAATATTCTTTTCAAACTCTTCTAATGTAAATTCGGATAATGTTTTATTATCCATCGTTGTTGTTGTTGTTGTTGTTGTTGTTGTTGTTATTGTATAGAAATTTCAAACACAAAGTCTACCACCGCATCAGCAATACCAAAAACAACAACAACAACTATAAGTTCTACAACTCGACAGCCGATCCTCAAAAAATTGTGATATTATTCCAGATTTTATGTTTTTAGCCATTGCTCCAGAGTTTTCAAATTACCGATTATATATTGCACATGATATGTTTATATGGAAACTAGACTTAAACGAAATGATTATCCCATCTCAGCCTGAACTTCTTGTCGATTATGTTCCTACAGAATTACGTCAATACACTTTACAACATATTTTCCAATCAACAAACGGTGACTTGATTACCATTGTGTCTCCAAACAAATATTTCTCAGCATCATTCCCTACCATTAAATTTCTTGATAATTTTTCCATTGATATACCCGATAGGGCTCGAATCAATGCTATTTTTCAATCAAACACAGGACGGTCCTATACCTTTTATAATAATATGTCATATATAGAATTTTTTTTTCCTGGGTTACCTGAAGATATTTCTCTCGCACTTCGATCGATTGATGGTCATATTTACTTTTTCCGTCACGCAACTTACTATAAATTTAATGAATTTAGAAGAAAAGTTGTTGCGACCGGACCATTTCATTGGACTCTATTTGGAGTACCATGCCCCAACGAGGATTTGTTACATCAACTAAAAACTCTGTTATCTAAACTTGTATCTGCATATCATTAAAAAATACATTTTTCTGAAAGCTATGTTTATTTCGTATTCAGCCTGTTGTCAAACAAAAAAAACATTCGGTTCCTTCGACTCCCCACCCCCACCATCATTCTACTACATAAAGTCTGTGTATCAGCCGTAGCAGTGCTACAGTATCAATCATTCAAACCAGTCGC